TGAATATGATTTGAATTATTTTCATAATCTGTGAAAAAATCGATGGCAGGCGCTAAGTTAACCCGTTCAGAGTCCATATTAATGGACAATGGATAATTTTGGTGAGCGTAAATAATTGCTCGAGAGCTCAGTATGTCTTTTAATAAAATTAAATAAATAAAAGAGTTGCACGGCTAGACTTCTCGCTCTGTGGAACACTGAGCATCAAAAATTTCTGCATTCAATTTCAACTCTAATAATTGATCTTTGAATTTCATTTGGAGTCAATGATCGATAACGTCAGTACATATCAAAACATTGGTGCGGCATTGTTTTCGTTCAAAATAAAGCATTGAACGTAATCAATTTTAGTTGAGTCTCTCTTAAAATTAGTATTATCCCTGACATGATAATTATTTGTGTTTGTAGCACTTAACTTTTTCTGAACAGAATTTTGTGTTATGAACTGACGATGGAGCTGGACTCCGAAACGTTTTCTCTTATAAAGATATGGTGAATTTTTGTGGTATTTTCTTTGCTTTTAAATTCCTGGTTAACTTGCGATTTAAGCAAACATGTGATTCTAATATGAGCAGGCATACTATATATCGTTCACTCAGGGATCCCTGTTAGATTTTCAAAGACGTTATTGGTCTGGGCAGTGCAATGTTCCAATTCATTCATGCCTCCATTCATCATCGAAATTTCTCATCATTTAAGAATATCTTCACTTTTGATACCTACCAGCTGTAGTATTTGTAGCAACCGTTGTGTATATAATTTGAGATAAATTCAAGCTTTATAGGTTTAACTATTTTCACAATTTAACTGGCATTTATTTTCCCTTTTAAGAGCTTCTTGCAACTTTATTGATCTCTATTTACTCCTCTAAACGCCCAGGTTTCTCCATTTATTCCCTTATCAAGCACAGTTTTATTTTTATTACTTGTCTTGTCACGATGAACATATTTTGGAGAGCCGCTAATTGTTTCATTGTAGTTATTTGCAGTGTAAGTTTCATGTATTAGCTATGGCTGTCCCCCGTCTCCCCATGGGTGACAGGACGTGTGGGGATCTGTGGGATTACTGGTAACGTCCCTGGGGCTTGGCATGCAGCACGTTGTGGTGGTTGCGTAACTTCCTCCTCATACATGAACGGAAAAATGGAAACGTCTNACAACTCGTCCACTCAGCTGCTCGACCTCGTTGCCTGAAGATGCTCAGTGATGAGCGAAACGCATCGCAGGATTTACCAAACCTTTCATTTGGACAAATTTTAAGACTTATTGACCCTGTTACTGTACCTCTAATCAGAAAGCTTGAGAGATTAAACTCAAAAGAAGTCCTCAATAACACTAACATTATTTTTAACCAAACATGTTTAAATGAAGGGCTCTACCCTAAATATACAAAAATAAGGAAATGTAAACAAATAGCAATAAATATCATTCAAACATTTGGCGAGCTCCTCAACTGCACAGTGTACATTTGGAGTAATGACAGGAGCTTCTAAAGTGCAGAAATTGTGAAGACACAAGCATGATTCTGATCAGGAACATGAACAGCCTGGTAATGGACAACACAAGCAAGCAGCTGCCGCGCGAACTTTGAGCTGTAAGGTAATTCAGGCGCCAGATCAACTGTTGTGTTTTTCGGTGCATAGCGCGACTTTCAGGCGCCAGATCAACTGTTGTGTTTTTCGGTGCATAGCGCGACTTTCAGACGCCAGATCAACTGTTGTGTTTTTCGGTGCATAGCGCGACTTTACAGCCGCGTCGCGGGAAAGGTAGAGGAGCAGGTTGGAAGTCCGGTCTCTTTATAGCGGCATAAACTTAGGAATTGCCTGAGCAGAACAATAACGTCCCCTGGTATGGCATCGCCAAGGTGAGAAAGAATAATTATAAAAAATTCAATGGATGAATTGAGCGAGTCCAGTGACGTGATAACGGATCCTGCGATTCCAACGGCGTCTGGAGACTTGGAATTGTGAGCTTGCCGGAAATTCGTTTCGCCACTGTTGCTGTGGCGACAACAGCATCTTTTTTGTTTAGCCTTTACATTCTCAAGATCCATGCGTTAACCGTTATTATATCGACATCTCTGCCTTCGATTGGCCATGTCGTGTTAAGTCTACGACTGGCTATGTTTGGATCCCAATATGGGATTTTCTTAGATGATTGCTAAGTGTCATTCGTTGTGATGATATCGCGGAATCTGGCCTTCAGACTTGAGTAGACACAAGTCTCGTGTGCCTTGATAAGAAGGCGGCCCAAGAGCCTAAATATTGGCTACACCCAAGTTTCGGTCGCAGCTTTTAGGCTTCGCGACGGCGTTTTCACGCGGTTTTTTGGCAGGTAACTTTAGGAACTTGCCTAGCCATGCTAATGGAGAGTCGTATAAGTTTCTGTGATGGTTTGACCTCCTCTGTGATTTTATGGAGCTTATAGTCGACGCTTTGGGACAATGATGCGAGGAAAATAAATACAAAAATGTTTTTAAAGATAGTTTGAATTTTTTTCACGAGATAAATCACGTAATTCAGGTGAACTCACAAGAAAAACACTGATTAGCTGCCCTGACTTATAAAAACATTTCAACGTTACAAAAAGGGGCGGAAAATTCCAAGATGCCCAATTTTCACATTTGTGTGAACAGTTGGGCACCATGCAACATATAGATTAAAAAAAAGAAACGACATGTTTACTCAGTTTTATTGTGTCCCTGAGCACGCTTCCGGCAACTGCGAATCCAAAATATCAAAAACTAAATTTTCGAATTTCCCGACAAAACAAACTTGATTGGGGAAATATTTTCCCCTAAAGCCGAGGGAAGCCAGGCTACGTTGGTCTGAATCGCCCTGCATAAAACTTCGTGGTAATTCTTAAGGCAACATAAAAGTGACGTGGGAATTTATCCGTTTATCCTGTACTTTATCCGCCAGTTTTCAAGGAGTCCCATATACTTAGATTATCAGATCGATCCCAAGTTCTATCTAAGAGAACCTATAAGAACTGCAGAATCTTGCGGGTAAAGAATTTTACTGGCGGTGGTTTGGCAAGTTATATAGAATTCATCGACCAGGCTTATTTATGGTGGAACTTTTCATTGGTTGCAGGCTTGTAGGGCTTTTCTTGTTCACATTCAGGGGCTCGCCGCGCCCCTGGGAGCCGCGTGGTCGCTGTGGCGGGAAATTGTGNTGGCAATTTGGCAATGCAAATGAGGGACAAATTACCAGCATCCCGCCGCCAAATGGACCTTCGTGATCATTAATATCCTGTAATTTCACTTCATCGGCCCTGCATCCCCCAAAAAATATCCCACAAGTTCTGTAGAGGGTAGTAAATTCTAGACCCACGCACGTAGTTATAGACATTTAACTCTAACTGACTTAACATTTTAAACATTTGATATATAATAAATGCTATATAATTAATGTTTAGACATGGATAGAAATCGGCAAAATTTTAGTCGCATAACTGATAGAGTTTCATCTTACTTTTTTTCGACACCTTTTTTCGATTAAAAAAATTAAAAATGTATATTTTCATATTAAAGAAATTTGTTCGCACGAGCATTCTCGTCCACAGATGTTCTCCAACTCTACTTGTTCATAGTAATTTTGTTACTCAAATTCAATATTCTAAAAATATGGCAGAGATATGACGAGTTTTCAATTTTTCGGGAACGTGTATGAAAAAAAGCTGGCGAAGAGCGTCCTCTCCCCAGACATGAGGTCGTAAAAGGCAGAATAAAATCTTATTCTAACAGGCAAGATTACGTATTATAATTTAAGAGACAGAGCGCATATTTTTAGAGAGATGCGCACGCACTCGCAGCTAGTCTGAAGTGCCCATTAAAGATGGAGAATTTCAAGGAACGTGCCCACTCATAAGGTCGGGAGTGGGCCATATTATTAAGGTCAGCATGAGTGGCCCTCTCGCCGCCACTCGCGCAAAAAAGAAGCCGACAGCTGGTCTCGAGTGGCTGCTCGGAGTGGTAATGAGCCCGCTGCTGTTATTGTCCTCGACTACAAATCCTTCTCTGCATAAAGCCAGCCTCGTTCCGAACGTTCCTAACCGTTCCAATGATTATTGCTTTTGTTTCCATTGCTGTTTTCTGCCCCTTTTGTGCAAAGAGAGCTTAGCTTGCAAATTATTTGTGAAGAGTTGCAATTGCAAAGTTTTACAAATGTTTTTATTCAGAAAAATTGCTTCGTTGCAATCTTTTCGATCCAATTTTTTCTCCCCATTGTTTTTTCTTAACCGCTGAATTACTGATAATAAATTCTCCTACGTACTATATATGCACTCACTAATTTCTTCGTTTCCTGATATCATTCTTTAAAAATCTATATTTTCCCTGCCTTCCGCACTCTTCGAGGTCACAATCACAGTTTCTTGGTACTGCGTGCCCATAATTATTCAAAACTACAGCTTTTGTTTTTGCAGAAACTTCTCATGCCTACAAATTAATCCATCTCTTCACTCGAGTTCTTAAATTGTGCGTGTCTTGCACGCGGCGCTTGATTGCTCAATGTCAAATCAAAGATGGTCATGAGGATGACCATCATGATGGTCATGATTATGACCATCATGATAGTCATGATAATGACCATCATGATGGTCGTTCCATCAATGAACTTCATTGAGCATTTTTTGGACATCACGAATTGAATTAAATGTTCTCTATTCACACCCATATTTTCATTTGTTTATTTATTGTTGACAATTCACTTGCTTTCTCGTTTCCTTCATCAAAGGCAATCAAAATGTAAGTCAGAATAGTTTTCATTTTTAAGAGAGGATTTCTCTATTCTTAAAAGAACGAATCTCTCCCTGCTACTGAACTCACCTCCACCACGTGATAAGACTAGATATGAACTCACCTCCACCACGTGATAAGACTAGATAAGAACTCACCTCCACCACGTGATAAGACAAGATAAGAACTCACCTCCACCACGTGATAAGACTAGATATGAACTCACCACCCCCACGTGATAAGACTAGATATGAACTCACCTCCATAGAGAGAGGGGAGGATGTTGACGTTGTCTCCTCTAAGCCAGGAGGTAACCACCAGCACGCCCTCCTCAACCTCCGGCAGTCGGCACTCCAGCAAGGCCGAATTTCCTGCCATCACCATCTGGTCCTGGACTTGTGCCACGTAGTCTTGTCGTATAACTATAAAAAAATTATTAGCAAAACAATTAATAAATTCATTTAATCGGAAAATCTATGTGAACATTAGTTACGAGATTTATTTCATAAGCAGCTCTCAGTGTCAGCAATACAAATAAATAAAGACCTAATACAATTCGAGTGAGCAAACTTTTTTCTCCGCCGCCTATGTCCATTCTAATTCCCACTAGATGAGGAATTTACTTTTAATAAATTATTCAGAAAATTTTTTGATCCATCTTCCAAAACTGACCCGCAGTGACGGCGGAAGGCCGCGATATGAGCGCCCCACGGGATAATCTCCCCATTACTGACCCGCAGTGACGGCGGAGGGCCGCGATATTAGCGCCCCACGGGATAATCTCCCCATTACTGACCCGCAGTGACGGCGGAAGGCCGCGATATGAGCGCCCCACGGTCGCAAGCGACGGTACAAGAAATGATGACGCGGTGAAGGCTGGCGTCGAAGCGATGGCTCGGGAACGGCAGGAACCACAGACTTCCGTTGCTAAGCTGCTGCACCAAACCCGATACCTGAAGAACCCATAAAAAATCAAATATCATACTAATACACTTGCTATATCTTTCTTTTCACCATGGCACTTAGTTGTAGAGGCATCACAAATTTTAATGGGCACAGCTGTCCATTTTCCAGTTAAGAAAGACTCAGTCTCTTCACACAAACACCGCCGTATGGATATAATTAAGAATGTTCTTCAGCGTCTGCCCAAAGCTCACCGGCAGGAAGGGCCGCCCGTCGAGGGTAGTCCAAGCCACTGTCGGAGGAGGTCCTCCAGGGGAGTGCGCGGCGCAATGCAGGAGGGCGCCGCTGTCGTTGCTGAACACCAAAGTCGATTTAGGTTCTGCGATCCAAAGCAGCGGAAGCTCGTGGGAGGAATCTTGGATTTCTTTCCTGGTTCTGGTAGCGATGTAGCCAGCAGAGCCGTGATTGTTATTGCCTGGGAATACGTTATCTCCAGGGGGAGAGTGCTTGCGGTAACCTAAATAAGAATGACTGCTAACGGGTGAGTGACTGTTGTGGTCCTGAAAGTCTTGATTGCGACTGCTAACAGCAGCGTGGCTGTGGCGACGGGTATGAGGCGTTTGCATTGAATGAGACCAAAAATATTGGTCTTTTCCATTACTTCGGAATGATCTCTTTAGCTTTTTAGCAATAGTAAGCTGATGCGGATACTGGGAAAATAAGTTTTTTGATGAGTTCTTGGAATATAGTTTTTCATGAAACTTGATTTTACTAGCTCTGTAATTGTCATACCAATTAGCATTTGATTCTGATGCGTCATTTGGTACGTCCTCCACACCCCTAAGCATAGAAAATATGATATTTTTCTGTGACATAGTGTGGCTCGACGACTTCGATGTCCGCTTATTCCGAGCACTTCTCGACGACTCAACATTCGATTTACTATCAGAATTTCCCGCCAATAACTCGTCCATTGATGTCGCATCGACAAAAGCTGTTTCGGAAGCGTCGAGGGCAGAAATTTTTGTATTCAAGCCTGGAAAAATAGCGCCATTGTTGAAGTTTGAAAGAATCGAGGGCAGATGTCTATCACTGCATCTTCTGGTAGAGCTCTCATTGTGCAACTTCACGCTATGCATCGAAGACTTCGACAAAGACGAGCTGACTTCTCCAACTTCTGACTGGTCCAACGCCTCTCCTGAGAAGTGAAAAAGAATGTGTGTAAGAAAAAACGGTGAAAAACGTACGGTCCCACTGGCGTTCTAGTGGCCGGTCGCCCCGTGAAAATAAACTGTTTTGCCGTTTTTATCAGATGTTTTACGGATTTCTAGTGTTAAATTAGAATAAAAACGGAGACACGGTGTTGCTCTTCACGTACCGACCGGCCACTGAAACGCCGGTAATACCGTTAACGGTCATTTTTTCTAACAGGGCAGTTAATAGCAATCGAATTTATGCCGATTTTTCGGCAGAGCATACAAAGTGTGGCTATATAGTCTGATGAGCTTCCATTTATTGACTGTTATTGGTTATCTTCCATGCTTTGAGTCTAATTGAAATTAATATTTTACTCATTATCTTACCTTTTTGGCTTGGTTATCCAGCAAATCTACTATAAATTATTATGTTCTATCTAGTTACACATTCCATGTATCTATATTGCCTCAATAGTATGAATTATTGAAATGGTATCTTATATCTAGCCGGAAGTCTTTGGTTGACTCAGATCTTACTTAATTCCTACACTGTCATTATGAGTTATCAAAGCCTAAAAAGCAGCCACATTTTAGAGTCCCACTCATTCCTTTATTTTAATTTCCAGATTTTGTTTGGACGAACTCAATCACAAGAAGAAAAATGTTAATGAATTCGCCGGAGTTAAACGTAAACTTTCCGTAGCCCAACTGTGGCAATCCATCCTTCATGAACAATTATTTCGATCCAAATGTCGAGCGAAGCAACCAACAGTCTGTCAAAGGAAGGCAAAACTAACCAATAATTATAATATCTTACGTGGTGAGACCTTATAAGCTGCAAGAACATCTTGGGGAACGTGAACTGGGCACATACTACTTTATAGATCACCGTAGCATCGCATGTCCCGACCATAATCCATAGTTCGAATTTTCATTTGAATATTTAATGACAAATAGTTTTCAGAATTGACGATGGTTCCAGCTGAACCATGTTTTTCGGCCACGATATTGCAAGATCTCGCCCACGCGGCGTTTGTTGTCGCCTCAGGAAGAGAACTGCGGCAATAAAGCAAAGTCTTATCAGGGAGTAAAGGAAGCTCAGTCGCATCGTTCTTCTGAAGGAAGTCATCAGCATTTCGGTCACGCTTTGCAGATCAATCAAAGGCGCCTCCTCTTAGGAAACAAGCTTCCGCAAACACGCGTCCACACAAAAGATTGAACGCTTGATTTCCCTACCCTAAATCCCAGTGCAACTTACGCTCTTATTTTTTTTTAATCCATAGCAACGTAATTCTTCTCGAGTGGGTAGAACCTTCGCATCTCTAAGAGGAGATGCGAGAACGCGAGAAAACATCCATTCAGATATTTGGCCGTGCAATAGAATTGATTTTGTGCATCTCCCGTGAAGCACTCAACCTCCTTCAAGTTATAATTACATACTAGAAGCCCATGTCACTGAGTTATAATTATGATATAGCCAATCACCTCTCTCAGCCACATGAGGTAGGAAGAAAAAGTTATATAGTTATTTGCATGGAAGCTAAAACCAGCATCCTACAAAAATAGTTAGACGTTACTTGTAGCATTATCATTTAACATACATACATAGTTAAATGTAAACGATAGAAAAAGCCTTTAATATGCTTAGTTCGCCGCTTTTACTAGGAACTAATATACATAATTAGACTCTAGTGATGCCTGAACGATATCAAGGTGTTGTAGCTGCCGCTTGGCACATCCAGAGCCCTCATGCATATATCAGCAGTAGGAGCGAATATCAAGACCTTGCATTAAGTCCTGGAAATTATTAAGCGGCCAAGATGGCGAACTCATCTCACAGCCTTGAGATGAGCTTGAGTATGTACAGCTTGAGTGCCATGTACAGCTTGAGTGCCATGAGCTTGTATGTACAGCTTGACTGTCATGTTAAAGTCATGAAATTCTTATATATAAATATCAGCCAATAATTACTAGCGTGACAGCATGACGTTACACCAGCAGCATGACAGCATGCCGTCACACCAGCAGCATGACAGCATG